GGCAGAGTTGCCTGACACTGTGCCCATCGCTGTGCCGCATTCAATAATTCAGGCAGCGAGGCTGACCCAGAACGCAGACACTGTTGCACCTTGTCAGGACAATATCATGCCTTTAATATTCATGAGAAATATGATACTGCAGTGTTGAGGAGGTGGGCGGTTTCAATTATTAATACCTTTCCAGGGACCTTGTAGTGTCCTCAATGCAATGTCCCTAATGCAAACTTAACAATGATGCTCGTAATTTAGCTGTAAAACCTGGGTATGTCATCCTGCAATTTTCTGATAGCGCTGAGCACTTCATTTGAGAGTCTAGCTACGTCATATATTATGCATTAATGGTATTTGGGCAACCTTTTCCTCTCAAACAGAATTTTGATGTTGTCACCTGCTGATTAGCTGTAGCACCGAGGGAATGACTGACACCTAAGAGCTGTCGGTGGTATTCACTAACGCCTACAGTCATTGCACTTGAACGTTTTCTCAGTACGGTTTATTATTTTATCAGAATAGATTGCAGAATATGGGAGCGATATAGTCCCCTCGAGAATCCGTACAGCCTTTAAGCAGCAAATCAAGACGGATGCAGATTGCTTGCTTTCGTGAATTGTTTTACTTGAAACTCTCGGACCTGGTTTCTCTTCTCTCCGCTTGTTGCATATATTTTAAAAGATTGTTTTAATATCTCCCATCCTCCCCTTTTTCCAAATTGCCTAACGTAAACTGTGTTTGTGGTAAGTGAGAGACTTTGCATGCCTCGTGAATTTCAATAAGCATTCAGCCTCGTCATCCTCCCGTCTGCGGCGCATTATAATCAGCACTTTTAAACGTTTCAGTTCCAAACTTTAGGTTTTTATTTGTTTTGATGAAATGATTATGCCATGTCTTTGCATCACACTCATAAACATAATCACCGCAGCAGAGAAATGGCATGTAGCACTCTAAGGAATTTGAAGTGTTTCGTCACTGTTTGAAAATGCTGCGCTGAGTTATCACCGCAGGGCTGATATTCATGGACCTGCTTCTCGCTAATCTCCTTGAGTGAACAGATGTTCTTTGTGAGCGCTGCTTGTCTGTGCATGACTACAGTATTTTTTTCCCCCAGTTTGAATTCTGCCTGTTGTTCTCAGTTGCTCGTGCATTTTATTGTGATGTTTAATTACACTCTGTGTTTTGTGAGTGTTCTCATGAGCTACTTTTCATTCTGCATCGCAGCCATT